CATTTGATACAGAGAGAGAGAGAGAGAGAGAGAGGGAGAGTGAGAGAGATTTCTTTGAATGAGTTATATTTTGTTCAAATTATCATCGATTACTAATTCTTTTTAGCTAACTTATTCAATCTTTACTAAAAGATTAAAATGAATTGTAAAGAAAAAAAGTGAAATAAAAGAGCTTAGTAAGAAGAATAAGAAAATATAGAAATAGGCCTGGCTAATTATTCTCCGTTTTCATTTAATTATCCTAAAAGAAAAAGAAAAAAAATATTTCATTTTATCAATGTCAGAATTTCATTGCCACTCTTTGTTTATCAAAGCTTTGATAGTATAATCGCTTATCATTTAAATTAAAGTTTTATTTATAAGTGCAAAATTTGAAATGATAAGCGAGAAAAAAAAATAATGTAAATAGAATGAATGATAAGAAGACCTGCTAATTGTTGTCGTTTATTACAATTATATTTAAAACGATCACAATCATCATCTATTATTCCAATTATATCCAAAACTATCATCATCTATTACAATCATAATTACTGTTATCACTATAATTATTACCGTTAGGATGAATAAGAGATGATAAATACATCATTATCATCATCTATTATTACAATTATATCTAAAACTATTATCATCTATTACAATTATAATTACTGTTATCACTATAATTATTACTATCAGGATGAAAATGAGAGATAAATAAAATAGTGTCTAATTTTAAGTCAAAAATAATTTCATATATTTAAGTAAAATTCTTTCATATTTTTGTTTCGAATATCATCATCGTTCTTTATCAGTTATTACACTAATTTTACCGCTCCAACAAATTTTCTTTGATTTATTTCTCTTTCTCTCTCCCTCTCTCTCTCTCTCTCTCTCTTTTCGTTTTTTTTTTACCTTTGAAGAAATTTTCGAAATGATTGCGAATGAGAAAATTAGGTAAGAATGAAAATTTTAATTCATTTTAGGAATTAACTTTTTCTTGTAATAATCTTTCGATTATTAACAATTAAATTTAATATTAAATTTCAAATTGCAATGACTGTCTCATTGCTTATTTCTCTTTAATTTATTTCAAATTAATTTCAGAAATTTTTAGAAAAGAAAAATTACAGGTAAAAAAAAAAGAAGAAAGAACTTTAATAGATAAAATAGCAAAAAGGTTTGAAAAGGGAAAGAAGGAAATTCTCGGAATTGGAAAACTTGTTTTTGCAAATTTTTATTTGATGATATGGCTCGGTTGTCATTTTCATCCCGATCGCTCTATCCTGCATTAACAACGACGCTTTGTGTCAATTTCAGTGGTAGGATCGCGACAAAGTTAAAGAAATGAGAATTGAAAGTGAAGAATGAGTGAAGGAGCATTATTAAATGGGTGGTAGGTAGGTGGTAAGAAGGGTAAGGGCAAGAAAAAAAATCCGGTGGTGATTGTCAATGTCAATGTCACACGCAGTGGACAATTACGCCATCATGCATAATGTATAGAAAGAAGAATAAGAAGAGAGAGAGAGAGAGAGAGAGAGAGAGAGAAGAAGGGTGAAAAAGAGAGAAAAAATATATATACTTCGTTTCAATAATAGCTTTAACAACAAAAATCGTTTCTTTTAGTTTTATTAAGGATTTTAATTTTAAAATGATTTGTCTTTAATATATTTATCATTTGATCATTATCATTTTATCAATGGTTATTATTATTATTATTTGTTTCTATTCAATTAATTAAAAAGATCAATCAAAAAGTGCTGATAATTTTAATTTTTAATGAGACATAAACTTTAAACATATGTATTGTTAGAAACACAATTTCATTTATTAATTCTGTAATTAGGAATAAATTCATGAAAGAGGGAATAATATGTAATTTTTCAAAATAATATCTTAATTAACAATAATTCTAACTAATCTTTCCAATCGATTAATTAATTTCTAAATTGATAACAAAGTGATACTTTAAAAAGATGATTTTATATGAAAGAGTTAAAAATACTATTTGAAGTGAAATTACACGTTTCTCGATTATGATGTTATGTTATTATACGTGTAGGATTACGTGATATGGATGAAAATTACTGATTAAATGAAGAAAAAGAAAATTATATTAGTTCAGTTCAGTTTTCTAAATTAATTTTATCAAGCAAAGCTAAATTTAAACGTTGAATATTAATCTCAAAATGATTAAAATCATTTTTGAATTTTCTACGGTTCTATATCTTCTGATTTTAAAATATCTTCTGATAATTAAAATATCTTTTGATAATATCTTCTGATAATTAAAACATCTTCTGATAATATCTTCTGATAAATAAAATATCTTCTGATAATATCTTCTGATAATTAAAACATCTTCTGATAATATCTTCTGATAAATAAAATATCTTCTGATAATATCTTCTGATAATTAAAACATCTTCTGATAATATCTTCTGATAAAACATCTTCTGATAATATCTTCTGATAAATAAAATATCTTCTGGTAATAAAAAATTAAAAATTAAATTTTAAATAACAAAATCTTTTCCATTTCTATTTTTACATTTTTTTTTATCAAATAAAATTCTTGTTTATTTTGTATAATTTGTTGGCTTTCTTCAAATAGGAAAAAAAGATTCTTCAATTTTCATTAGCGACTGGTTACAAGCAGCTTTAGCTATCCAATGATTCTTTCCTGCTTTTGCTACCTTTATTTCTTCGTTTAATTTTCATCCCACCACTATACCTATCAATTGTCCATTATCAATTTATCATCAACTACCTATCCATCCATCTATTTACTTTTTATAAGTTTGCTTCTTTTCTTTTGTTTTTTTCTTTGTTAATTGGTCGTTTTAGAGGTAAAGAAGCTATTTTAAATTAGGTGATATTTTCAATAACACCTTCATTCTTGTTGGACGCTGTTTGATTCCAAATAGCAACCAATAATTTGGGTAACGAATCATTCGGAAAAACCAGTGTTCTCTCATTTCTATCTATGTATATATGTACACACACATACATACATGCACAACATACATATATACAAATGCACATACACATACATGCGTAATACATAATACATTTATTTCTACACATGTATAAATATATACATATGTACATACAACATACACATACACATGTATATACGCACACACATACATGCATATACATGCACAACATACACATATACACACCATTCATTTCTACAAGTGTGTACAGACACATGCACATACACATGCATATACACACATATACATATACATACATAACACACACATGCATATACACACGTATATGTACACACATGCACATACACACACGCACACACAACACACACACGCATACACAACACACACGCATACACAACACACACATACACGCATATACAACACACACACGCATACACAACACACACACACACACACGCATATACAACACACACACACACACACACACACATATACAACACACACACACATACATGTACACATGTAGAAATACATAAATGGACATAAAACATGCAATCTTCTCAGCTGACAGGACGGCTCAAAACCAATTTTTTCACATATAATTTTGAAATTACTTTCTATCTTTTCCTTTTCTAATTTATTCCATTCTGATTATTTTATCAAATTTAGAAAGAAAGTGATAATGTAAAAGTTTCTTATTAATAATCGAAAATTTTACAATTTATTGACAAATTGTGTAAGACAAATGACAAATATTGGAATTAACTATTGAAATTACTATCAAAGGTTAAATAAAGAAAGTTTACTGACAGCTATTCAGTTATTCATTACTTAGTCATTTCTAATCAATCGTTCATTAAGTTAATCATTACTTACTCATTTTTAATCAATCGTTCATCAATTAATCATTATTTACTCACTTTCAATTCATCGTTCAATCAGTTAATCATTACTTATTTTTAATCCATCGTCAAATTAACTAATTAATGTTTTGCGCATATTTTATCATTTTTTAAATTAACGAAGTTTATTAAATAAATGATGAAATAAAGAGATAATAAATTTGTTCATTAATTAAGATAAGAGATAATGAAGATAAAGAGATAAGTGAATTGTTCATTTTTGATAGATCGATCGATGATATTATTTCGTGTTCATTTGATATTAAAAGTTTTGAGCATTTGTTCAAAACATTAAGTCAGCTTATTTTGCTGTAATTAATTATTAAATTAATTAAAAGTTACATAATTTGAGAATATAGAAAAAGTTGTAGAATTTTTTAAGAAACAATAAATGTGCAAAGCAATCTTCTTAACTTTTGAAAATATAATCGATTAAATTGTAAAATTTCGTGATAAGAATGAAGAATCCTATGCTTACATTTTTTATCATATCAAATTTAAATGTACAATGCCAGGAGCTACAGGTAAATACATCCTACACTTCTTTCTATACTTTCATATTATTTGTCCAGCCTTGTATCCATCATCTATTCCAATCCGTATTTGACAATGTTGAAATTTCTCTCAGAGAAACAGGAAATGATAACATTTCATTTTCCTTCGTTTCTTTTTCATTTTTATATTATTATATTCTGTTCCATTTAGCTATCAGTTTGATCTCAGCATATCGAAAGAAATATATAATTGATTAGGATGAATTAAGTAATTAATTGATTGATTCAAATTTCAAGACATCAACTAAATTAAAATATATATTCCTAACAGTGCAAGCAATTCATTCCTTTAAGTCTTCTTATTCTTAATAATCACTTATCAATGATAAAGTCTTTTCTATCGTATTATTCAACGAATACATTAAAATTAAATTCTAAAAAATTTAAATGAAATCTTTTAACTTTTCTTTAAATCTTCTTTTTCATAAAATTTCAAAGATTAAAAACTTTGTTGTGTCGAACTTTTGCAGAAAATGAAGAAAAAAAGTGTAACATTGACAAATAGACGGATATTTCTTTTATTTGTGGGAACTATCGAAAACTGGTGAATGTCGTCGCTAAATAATAATTGTATTGGGTAGAATAGTGAAGTGAAATTGTTGGTTATGGATGAAAATAGAAGACCGGAAAGTTTAGGACTGGATGATGATGATGATGATGATGATGATGATGATGATGATGATGATGAGTTTGTGTAAAGAGTATGTTATCTCGGCAAAGTATCGATGGTATATATGTATGTGTATACAGGAAAAAGTGAAAAATGTCCGGATGAATGCCCATTTGACAAACATTGAGTAGTTAGAATTAAAAAATATGTTAGACTTTGGAAAGTTTTTGTAGAATATGAAAATGATGAAACAATCCGTTCCATCTATCCTGTCCTGTCCTATCTTGTCCCGTATCGTCTCGTCTCGTCCCGTTTTGTCCCATTTCATCTCGTCTTGTCTCGTCCTGTTCCGTCCCTTCCGTTTGTCCTTCAAGAGTATTTGGAATCAAAGTTGTGGAAGAGCAGAAGTAGAACTGTGTAAACAAAAAGTAAAATGCAATAAGCGCATACATAGCATTCATTCATTCATTCATTTTCACATCCATCCATTCTTCCATCCTTCTTCTCAAAGTTGCCAGCCATCATTCTCTAATGCGCAATCAAAAAAACAACAACAGAAGAGAGAAAGTTTCTTTTATTGCCAGTTTAAAGTTATATTATTCATTTCCTTAATAACATTTTTGTATATATTTTTATTGTCAATTTTTTTTTTTTTGTTTTACAATTTTAAATTAATTTGTTTTTTTTTTCATTTATAATTTATTGAATAATTTAATTTAATTAATCATTAGTTAAGATTAAATTATACAATCGATATTATCATTTATTTAATTGCGCTAAAAATGGCAAACAATGATAAAGAAAAGTTTAAAATTGATTACTTTCATCAATTTCTTTCTATTTCTTCTCAATTATCACCATTCTTATTGATGATGGCTCCATTCGTTGTAATTTCATAGACATTATGTGCGATATGATAAGATTGATACAGTTATAGTAATACTGGGCTGTATTTTGATCGGTATTTATCTCTTCTCAAATTACCACCATTCCTATTGATGTAGCTCCATTCAGTGTAATTTCATAGACACTATGTGTGATATGATAAGATTGATACAGTTATAGTAATACTGGGCTATATTTTGACACTATGTGTGATATGATAAGATTGATATAGTTATAGAAATATTGGGCTATATTTTGATCGGTAATTGCAAGGGTGAAAAAAATACGACATATGAATTTTGTAAAAATTTTAAATGTACTTTTTAAATGTGAACTTCTTTCAACATGTTCATATAGCTGTTAAGCTATTTGAAAATTTGTGGAATTTTTTTCTTTGGCGCTATTGTCTTGCCAATCATTGAAAGCAATAATTAGTTTTGAAATTGGAATAGTTTTTTTCTTAATTTAATATATCATTAATATATCATTTAAATATTAATATATCTTAATATATTATTTGAATATATATTATATTATGAAATATATTATATTATGAAATACTTCGATAACTAAAAGTTAGAGGAAATGTATAAAATATTTTATAAAGTATCACAGCTAAGAGCTTTAATGCATGTATGCTACCTTTCAAGAATCATAGTGATCTCTTTGGATAAGACTGATACTACATATCACATAGTTTAGATGATAAAAATGTGATGATATCTAGAGATAGCCATTGTTCGCAAATGGACATCACTTCTTTTCTTGAACTGTTAATTTGTACTGTTAAAAAGTATCCTGATTTTTTTATCAATAAAAGAAATATCGCCAATAAATCTTTATACTGATCATATCAAATTCTTTACAATAACTTATATCCATTGATTACTCATCCATAATATATTTCGTAATAGATTTCTGTTAATATGTATAAAGTTTCTACCGGAATATTTTATTTGAGAACTGTTTGTTAAGAAGTTATGAATTGATATAGTATCATTTCTTTAAGCTCAATATTAATGATTAATTGAAAATTAATGATGATTTTTAGTCCGATATTCTCAAACTATTATTCTCTTGGCTGCTTATCTTTTCACGTACGTTATGAATCTGTTGGCATCACGCAGATGCCATATTCATTACTTTTTCAGACTATAATTCCCTTGGCTGCTTATCTTTTCACGTACGTTATGAATCTGTCAGCATCACGTAGATGTCATATTTATTTAACATTCATTACTTTTTCAGACTATAATTCCCTTGGCTGCTTATCTTTTCACGTACGTTATGAATCTGTTAGCGTCACGCAGATGTTATATTCATTTAATATTCATTACTTTTTCTCTCCATTTGCAAGTAATACTTTAATTTCATCGTTTTACAGATTACATACATATCTTTTATTGTGATTCAAAAAATCTTTTGCACCATTTTCCGCCTCATTCCTTTTTAGGATATCGATTAATGCTAAAGAATAAATTCCTCATTTATCAACGATTATCAAATTTGAACGAAATATGCCCCATATGTGTACTTCTAGCTAAATTATCGGGCAACGCAGTTTACATGTAAATATCGCTTTACTTCTTTTATTAAAAATAATACACCAAAGACCAGTTCAGTGGTGCAAACCCACCGACCATTGCTATAAACTTCAGCTCTGGGCAGTCACAAACACACAGATACACACGTACAGACACGCATATAATAGGGCCAAGTAGAAGCGTGATGGTTTACATTATGTAATGTGTATGTGTGTGTGTGTGTGTGTGTGTGTGTGTGTGTGTGTGTGTGTGTGTGTGTGTGTGTGTGTGTGTGTGTGTGTGTGTGTGTTAATAGATGTTTTTGATTTTAGTCATGAATGTTTTGATGTAAAAGGATAATAGGACAGCTAATTTGGCATCTGATGTCTCCCGGGTATTTTCTCTCTAAGAAAATTACCTTCAGAAGAGCATCAAAGATAGCCGACTTTTGTTTATCTGAAAATCTCTCAATCACTCTAAATTCTCTCTATTTTTTTTCTCTCAATCATTGTTAAATGATATTAAATATTAAGAGTAATGAGTTTGATAAATTCTTATCTCTGTATGATTAGCGGCATTTACGTGATAATTCGATAAAACGTCTAAGTTACGTGAAATAAGTGATAAAAGAAGATAAATAGTTTAGATTAAATGAGAAATAATCAGATAACGTCTTAACTAATATCGTATAATTTAATCCAAAATAGGTGGATTAAATTGGATTGAAGCTTCCATATTCAACATTTATCTCTTTCTGCGTCATAGCCCTTTTTCTTCCTTTCTTTGCTATATGTCCAAATGTCGTGATGTCATTGCCATTAGCATCGCTCGTTTAATAACACATGAGCGCATTTAAAAAGCACTCTTTCACTTGAAAAGCTAGCTATATGAAGCCGATAAATGGACAAACAAACAAACAAGGAAACGAGCAAAACAGGAAATATGCAATAAAATGATGAGGGAGAAAAGCTACGAAGACTGTCCTTCTCTTACTCCCATATATTATCATGCTCATTGCTTGAAGCTAGCAGTCGTAGTAGTAGTAGTAGTAGTAATAGCAGTAGCAGTAGCAGTAATATTTGTAATTGTCAACAAGTCATGATGTTGTAGTAATAGTAGTAGTATTTTCTAATTGTCAACAAGTTACCATGATGTTACTTGATGTCGACAAGTGATGATGATGATGATGGGTAGGCAAGCTAGTTATTTTGGGTAATCGGGTAACGGGTAGAGCGGGATGGGGGTGAGAAGATGAATTCCTGCTCTTAAAATCATTTTGAAAAGAGGAGGAGAGATAGAAGGATCGTTTGAAAGAGGAGGGAATTGAAATAAGGAAATATAATAGGTAAAGATGCTATTGTCGCGAATTAGCCAATTACCGCTTGTTGTAATAGTAATAGTAATAATAGCTTACTGATTTTGATCATATTTAAACTGTTTGAAGTTAACGACTACTATTTCAATTTAAAACACTTAAGAGAAAGAAAGGATGAAGAGCCATTGATAAAACAATATTTGAGAAATTAAAATGACCACTTTTCCTTTTTTTCTTTACTTCAAAGAAAATTTGTTCCATTTTAATGTAACATTAATATATTTCCCATTTGTCAAATAATATTAATTCATACACTGATAATATCACTTTCTTTTAAAATGTTATACTGATAATATCACCTTTTTTTTTAAATGTTATACTGATAATATCATTTTTTTTTAAAAGTGTTATACTGATAATATTTTTTGTTAAAATGTTATGTTAACATTAGCATTCTCATCGTTACTTTTATTCTTTTTCTATCGCTTATCTTTACAATCTGTTGAAGATAATGATAACTTCAATAAATATCAAAATGTTTATTTTTGTAGATCAGAAAAAGAAGAAAATGATCATATTGCTTAATAATACGAATTATTTCCTCAAATGAAGAATGTGAGATCCTTTTGTTTTATATAATTTAAAATTAATATTAAATTAAATCATCATTATCATCTACCTCCATAGATTGAAATAATTAAAATGATTCTCTAGTATTATCATTTACCTATTATCATCTACCTTCAAATAATTAAAATGATCCTTTAGTATCATCATTTGCCTTCAAATAATTAAAATGATCCTTTAGTATCATCATTTACCTTCAAATAATTAAAATGATTCTTTAGTTTTATCATTTACCTTCAAATAATTAAAGTGATTCTTTAGTATGAAAGGTAAGTAATGTTTGCATTTTTTTTTTTTGAAATTTCAAGTGGACTGTCATATATGCACAATGAGAGTGTGTGTGTGTGTGTATGTTGGGAGAGAGAGAGAGAGAGAGAATATTATGGTAAAAGGTAAAGAAAGGAAAGCGGTAAATGGTCGAGAAAGCTTCCTGGTGTCTTCTAGTTGAGTGAATGGTATGAATCACGCAAGTTACACCAATATCTATGGTAGGAAGAGAGATAGGAATAGTACCAGTAAAATGTGATTGTGATGTGATGGCTATGGTGCATGTTGCGGTAATGGCAAATAGCGGCGATAGCAGTAGCAGTAGGAGCGGCATTTGTGTTGTTAAGTTAGAGCAGTATAAGTGCAACAAGAATTATAGCAGCGTAGCAGTTTAAAAGGCATTATTATCATCATCATCATCATCATCATCATTATCAGCTGAGGCATGAAAAGAGTAGGTAGGTAAAATATAGCAATAGCAGTGGAAGTAGCAGTAACAATTGCAAGTTGAATTTTTTCTTTCGCACTTAAAAATTGGAGTGACCGTCAGATTATTTGAGGGAAGTGCAATAGTCTTCTTGGTCTAATTCAAACCTGATATAACTAGCGTTAGCCTCTTCCTTTTCCTCATTCTCTTCTCATTCTTCTTTCTCTTCGTTCCCCCGCCTTTCTCAGTTTGCACTTTTTGACGGTTAGTGCCAGTGGCAGTAGCAGTAGCAGCAAAACCACAAAATGACTTTTCCCTGATGATCGAGGGAGACCTCTTGGGAAGGAAGAAGTGGGAGGTGAAAAGGAAGGCTATGG